ACAGTCACACTAGTCATTTATTCTGATGATGTCAAAAATGTCACAAGGTAATCCCTGAAGTTTGTGTTGAAAGTAATTGTGACAGCTGAGTACATTAAGCCAGAAGCTGAAAGTGGAAGTGAAAGTGATCAAAATGGGCCCATTTGTGGTATGTCACATGTCACCTCCAGTTCTTCTGATGTTCTGCTTGCCTCAAAATACCATGCTCATGAACTGATTCATTAGCAGAAGTCAAGCTGTCTGACCAACATCTCGGTGAGCAGGTAGCATGCTGCTGTGATGACAATGACCACTGAAGCAGCCAGAGTCTTGGTTTGAATTAATGACCTTGGGACACCTACAGGTAACTACGAGAGTTAAGGACCATGACTTCAGGAAAGATGCACACAGGTTCTCTGATGAGACTTCTTGCCTGGCAAAAACAGCAGCTATCAAGCTGTGCTCTGTACTAGGACTATGTCATCATTATGTTACGAGGCTCATTATTAGAAACCTCAAAGAGGGTTCTATGACCATGGGACCCTCTCTAAGACTCCACAGCTGCTTGGAAGACACAGGATCCAATTGATTACATGAGGCAAAAGTATTTTTGCCAAGGAGAGCTTTAAACTAGAAATCATTGGGGAGAAACAAGGAGGCTTGGGATGGGGTAGGCAAGCCAAGAGCCTGGGATGATGGGAAGAGAATGGACATAGCAATTCACAAAGCAACTGAATTGAAGTGCACTTCCTTTGAGCACAGCATGTGAAGAAGGAAGCGCCTGCAGAACAGCCTTGTGGGGAAAGCTCTCAAGCCTGTACTGTGGAACTGTCACATTTGGATGCCCCTCAGAGGCCTCTGCTTTAACACATGCAGCACAGGGAAGACTTTGAAGTCTGTATGCTGTTACAGGGCTACAATCTCGTTGGGATCACACAGAAACGGTGGGATAGCTCACACAACAGGAGTGCTGTGATGGAAGGATACAGGCTCTTTAGGAAGGACAGCAGGAAGGCGAAGACGAGTGTTGCCCTTTACATGAGAGAGTAGCTCGAAAGCACGGACCTCTGCCTTGGGACAGGTCAGGAGTCAGCTGAAAGCTTTTGGGTCAAGATTAGTGGGCAGATCCACATGCATGCTGTTGTACTGGGTATCTGCTATAGATCTTCTGATCAGCACAAAGTAGTAGGTAAGGCCTTCTTCACACAACTGGAAGAAACTTCATGTTCACAGGCCTTGGTCCTCATAAGGGACTTTAGCCACCCAGTATCTGCAGGTATCTGAACATCACTCCCTCCCCCTTTTTCACTGTGAGAGTGGTCAAACACTGGAACAGGTTGCCCAGAGAGGCGGTGGAGTCTTCATCCTTGCAGATATTCAAAACCTGACTGGACACAGTCCTGGGCAACCTGCCCTAGCTGGCCCTGCTTGAGCAGGGGGATTGGACTAGTTGAGCTCAAGAGCTGCCCTCCCACCTCAACCATTCTGTGATCTTGTGATGTTTAGCTCTATTTAATTTGATTCCTCATACATTTAAAATACAAATATAAGCTCTCACCAGTGAACATATGCATTGCAGCTTTATTCTTGACACACAGCCCCACTGCAAATCCATTATCTCCAACTGAGTGGTCTCACTGAGATCAAATTAAGCAAAGCATATTTAGGACTGTGGCCCAGCACAGGAATTTTCCTAACCATGCATTTTACTTCACCTTTGTTTATTCAGGGGACCTCATTTCTATTGAAAGAACTTCCATTTCATATAGAAGGTCAAAGGATTCACTGATCTGTTATTTCAACAACAAAGCTCCTCCCAAACTAAAGTTATACGGAAAATTTAAGCAACGTAGAAGAAAATAATAGTCAGCATAAATCAAGCTAAAAATCCCATCTATGTCTTTTTTCTTTAAGTTTTCCAGCATGCCAACACTGTCCAACAGATATCCAGTATTTGTTTGCCAATGTCAAAAATGTTCTGTACTGCAGCAAATGCATATAAATGGATACCACTGCAGAATGGAGAATTTATACAGGATGCACAATAGAGGCTCTGTAGAGAGGGGGACATTTTAACATGCCTTTCAAAATGGGGAGTGTCTATTGTTTGCCATCTCTGGTGAATTTTAACATCAAAACAAACTCTTCATTATTCCCATGCTCCTGAAACATTTCACCCCTCCATTCCTTATCCAAAAATTACCCTACACCTGACACTACAAGATATTACAAAACTACCTTCAACCGCAGCATTAATTGTGAATGTTTGGTAAGAGGGGCTAGGAAGGCACTGACAGCTCACAGGCTGTAATAACAACATTAATGGTATAACACCTACTGCCGGAAAAGAGATTTCAGGAGCAGTTTCTCATTTCCTGCTTTTGTTGGTCGGCAGAAGGCAATACGCATGGAGCAACCTTTGGATTGTGTCAGAGGTGAGTACCACTGCACACACAGCTTTGAAAGGGAAAACACCGCACAGCACTGCATGTTAAGATACCTTTAAGTAACACCAGTTTTACAAAAACACACTCTGAGTTAACTGCTTGCTGATAGAAATTGCCTGGTTACACGATACTTTCATACACAACATGAAAATGCTGTGTTGCAAAACAGGAAGAGAAGGCACAGAGTGGCAAACAGGGTATTTTAAGAAGTCACAAAGCGTAATTGATAATAAAGGTGAAAAATGAAGAGATGAAGGAGAAGGAAGCAGCAATTCAAAACCACCTATTACGTTTAAGGTTCCACATTGCAATTTCAACCGTAATTTCTCCGTTGCAGTAAAGAAATGTAACAGATAGCAAATAGTTCAGCACATCATTTTTTCATCTCATTGCTGACCATGAGAACAGCAAGCATTTTGTGTCACACTAAATTCATTATAGGATCAGGGTCTCTCTTTTTATAAAGTGACTGAGGCTACAAACTTCTTAGCTGGTGTGGGGTCTGGAAAACATGTCTTATGAGGAGCATCTGAAGGAACTGGGATTGTTTGGCTTAGTGAAGAGGAGTCTGAGGGGAGACCTTATTGCTCTCTACAGCTACCTGAAAGGAGGTTGTAGGGAAGCTGGTGTCGGTCTCTTCTCCCAAGTAACTAATGACAGGACAAGAGGAAATGGCCTCAAGCTGCATCAGGGGAGGTTTAGATTGGATATTAGGAAAAATTTCTTTATTGAAAGAGTGGTCAGTCATTGGAACAGGCTGCCCAAGGAGGTGGTGGAGTCACCATCCCTGGAGGTGTTCAAAAGACGTATAGATGTGGTGCTTAGGGACATGTAGTGGTGGGCTTGGCAGTGTTAGGGTAATGGTTGGACGATGATCTTAAGTCTTTTCCAACAAAAATGATTCTATGATTCTCCCAGCAGGCAACTAGGCTTCTGGGCAAAAAGGGGATGGAAGAAGTGCAAAAGAGCAGAGAGAACATCACTTTCTTAGGTGAGAAAATGGTAAGAAATGTACGTACAGTAATAATAGATAAATATTCGTAACTTCATTTTACTATTCTTCGATGCATTTTTCAGAGCATCAGAAGAGTAAACTACTAGTCCAGATTATCTACCTTGAATGCTACAGACACACTTCTCAGGAAAATGAAAACTGAAGAAGTGCACTAACAGCCTATTACTGTACACCCTAAAGTATATATTGTCCTTGGGGGAGACCTATAAATGACCCCATTTGAGAACAAGATTTTCTTTCACTGTTACCTAGCATGAACACATAACTTGCTCAGAAAAAAAGTCTCCCAGCTAGATTATTAAATGGCTTTCCAGACAATTGCCATGGTAAGATTTGCCAAAACTTAATATAATCACAGCTTCTGAATTTAGACTAAATTTTGCTAGTATTTTAGAAACAAGTGTCAGATTTATTTGTTTTGAAAGATGGAAGACAAATTAGAACAACATCCATGGGGTGACAAATCTCCCTTCCTACTTATCTCTGTAACGACCCATATACTGCATTGTTGGGGTTTTTTTCCCTTTTAATTCTTCAGCTCCAATTTTAGCATCAGAATGCACAAACCCATATCTGGTCATAAACTTTTATTAGAACTCTGTTGAAATAACAGAATTGCAAATAAATTATGCTAAATAACGAGAAAGTTAAATGATTCTACACTGATCTACTGACTTCTTGGCAGCTATTTGTTTAAGTGCCTGAAGGAGTAATTATATTGCCTCTGAAAGTTTAGTTTAAAACAACCAAAATCCTGAGCCCTTAAAATTTTAAGAAAATAGCAAGAGCTACATGCAAACTCCCAGGGAAAGGATGATGAGTAAAACTTCTGGTCCCTTAAGAGAATGCAATAACCATGTTTTAAACATGGTTTAAAACCTTTCAGGACTAGCAATTACAGTACCAATTTTTGTTCTTTTGGGTTGTCCTTCTCTCCCTGCTCACTCATCGTGTTTTGGGTGCCAATTTTATCTAAAAATTAAGATAATTTTAAGATATGACAACTAACACTCCACAACAGGGACACACTACATGGATCTCTGGGAACACAAAAAAAGTGAGCAGGCAAAAAGTTTTTCAGGGGAACCATAAAATGCAATTACCATTGTTCTTACCTTTTATAACTCATAGAGCCCAAGTGACCTGGGAGAGTACCTAATGGAAAACAGTTCTCACAACAATAAATTAACAATTATGGAATGCAGACAATGCATTCCCAAATTGCTTTTAAGTATGAGAAGTCCTGTCATGAACCCATTTTAGGCCCTAATACAAGAAGGATAAACAACAAGGAGAACAATCTCAAGTCTCTGTGCACTGACCAATTTCAGTCTCAGATGAACACAAAAGCAATAGCCATATATTCTAATTAACGATAGTTCAAGTATTTCAGAGTGAAACACGTTTAGACAAAAGAGCAAGCAGCCACAGTTTAAAGACTGAGCTTTTCAATAGACAGAAATGCTTGCTTTTTACCAGACTTCTTAGTTAGTATCTTCACATCACTGCAAAGTACTTTTGTAGCAGATAAATAACGTCAACTGAAAAATAAATCCTACCTGTTTCCTCTTTTCAGGCGGAAGGGATGGGTCCCCATCCTACAAATAAATGTAGGACATATTTTATTGGCAACTTATTTCTGAAGCCAGCAACTATATTAACTTTGTGGACCAAATTTTAAAGCACGTATTTTAACTAAACTCTTATCAAAATTGTTTCTAAAATACTGCATCTTGATTAATACCAGTAATATTAATTTCAACTCAAAAAATTGTCCAAGGCTAAAGATTTGTTTACATTTCTAGAACAGCAGGTCATTACAAATTTATGTTGCATTATTTTTCATAACGGTACATTAAGTTGCTGTGGAATAATAATACTGCAGTCAGTTTTTAAATGGAATTATGACTGAAACTAATTTCCTCAGAGCACACACTGTCTTTCTGTGTCTTATATAACAGGCACTACCTCATCAATGCGGAACAGATGAGTAATAATATGATCAGGGCTGTACAACTGCAGGACTACTGTAAACAAGTACCTAAACATTTTTAGAGCAGTCATTATGGACTTCTTTCCATTTTTTTTGAGGCTCGCCCTTGTCCCCTAATTATACAGTATTCATAAAGAACAACCTACAATCAGCTCCCGATACTTCTTTTTCAGAGACTGGTGTCGTTCACGTAACTGGTTGGCCATTAGCTTGTATTGATCTCTTTCTTGTTGACAGGTGTCCAGCTCTTTGGAAAGAATTAGCAATGCCTCCTTTTTACTTTCGAGCTTCCTTTTGCACACCAGATACTGCAGAAGAGAAAAAAAACATAAATGTAACAAGCCATCTCTACCGCAGCCAGTATTGGATTCAAGAGGCTTAAGTTTTTCTCTGAAAAGACGGAGGAAGACTCTCTGTGCAAGATCAAAGTCTGCCACAAGTTGCTTAGCTTATTAATAACTATCACTGGAAAGCAATCTGTTGTATCAGAAGCCTGAAATCCATTTATAAGACCACATGCTCACCTGATCAGCGGAGTGCGAAAAATTCAGCAATTCAAGTTTCTCCACTTTTTCCTCACATGGGATAGGATGAGGAACCTCACAATTTGACCCGCAGCCATGGGAAGGCCTCTAGAAGGAAAGCCTTTGCAAATTCCCTTTTCTACTTCTGTCCACAACACCCAGCTCCCAGTTAGCCACCAGCATTTCCCACCTCATTCCCCACTCCCTCCTCCTCCTCCTCCCTGCTACCAGCATGTCCTCTGGGCTCAGACTCCCACCCGGACAGTGAAACAGGACTATATTATAGCAGAAAGGGTAGCATGAGTGGCAACCAAAATGTACCTCGAGACTGAAACAATTACAGTGTGATACCCTACTGGCAGATGTAAAAGGAACTAAATAAGCTGTAATACTATACACATGTGCTTGCTGAGTCAAAAGAATGGGAGATAATGCAGGAATATTGCAAATACCCGAATGGGGAGGGAAGGCAGAGGTGAGCCTTCCCCTCCAGCCACTGCCTCTTATTGCGTAGGGCTCACGCACAAAGCAGAACATGCAAATCTTAGCTGTTCTGCATTAGTCTGATCTGCCTCATTGCCTTTCCCCACTGAGAAAGTAACGTATATACGTCATCCTTCCCTGCGGTGGCCGAGTGTTACTTATAGAAGCTTCAGGCAACTTTTTTCACTTAACGTGATGTTCAATCAGCAGATTCTTCTTACCCATCACCTGACACTGCCCATGCTAAAGCATATATTTCTATTTCTGATGTTACTCGCATAAGACGTGGCACTAAATACTTTCTGAATGTGCTCTGCAAGACACCAAATATCACAGCAGTCATGAAAACAATTTATAGTTTCATTATATACTCTGACAAGAATACTTCGTCATTATGGGCTCTTGCACAAAGCAAAAGCATCAGCACTTCCATACTGTTCAAATCAGTGCTGCTGTTCTGGATAAAAATCATTACTCTTACATACTACTTGCTTGGAATTAACTTTGTTAACCTCATTTTCAAGTCAATGAGAAAGGGAAAAGCAAGTTTGGTAGGTTAGTACAGCCAACGTTTTCCAAAAATGGTAAACGCTTAGTTGCAAAAATCGGGAAGGGAATGAGAAAAGCAATTCCAAGAAGGATTTGACTCTCAAAAAGGACACTTCCACCTTGGATTAATTTTAATTCTGGCAATACTGAACTTGAAATCCTGCCATAAATTTTCTGGATTATGATGCATTGGCATCAACAAAGGCAACTGTACCTATGTACTTATGTCCTTACTGATACCTCACACAAATGTCAAGCCCCTTGATAAAGCACTGAAAGGTATCGGAAGCTAAACTTTAATATTGTCAGTAAGTGATTATAGTGACATCGTAAACTGCTTCAAACTTGATAAAGTAATTCCTTCCCTTACAGTGAAGTACTTGCCTCTGACAATGTCCCTTCTTTTTTTCCAGTTTCATCTCATATCTTATTCTAAAATACGCCTTCCTAAGTTGTCTTTAAATACTAACAATCTGATATAGAAATTGCAAATAAAAATGAGGAACAGCAAACTTCACAATCACTTTCAAAAACAACAGCCCAAACCCCTGAACCAAGTAGCCTGTCCTGTTCCTTTAACAGCCAGAAGGAATGAAGCTGGCCCATCCAGCCAAGACCTAGGTGGAGTAGAACAGTCTATACAAGGTACACAGAGGGAGGGAAGCAAAGCTCGACATCTGGCCTTAGGACTCCCACACCACCAGCACGCACCTCCCAGCCTTGCCACCAGAGCTGGCACATGAAAGGGGGTCTGAGAGAGTCGGAAGCTGGCTGGAGCCTGTGGATAAGACTGTAAAAAATAATACTTATCAGGCCTAGTGCAAAACAAATCTTGCTTCTGCCATGAGTCACAGCTCTCCACAAAGGACACACAGAAAGCATAAAAGAAGGCTTCACTTTCTGCAGCAGCGCTGGTGGGGGCAAGGGAATTCTCCATTATCTATTAGGTTGAGGATAACGGACCATAAACAGATTGTGGGGACAGTTGTGTTCAGGGTCTACATGAAAAGGAATAATGATCTCCTCCTTGTTTAAAGTACAGTTTAACTTGATAAATTATATACTGATGATGTGCCATACGGAAGGAAGGGGCTTCGCATCCCTCAGCAATATACTGATTGGATTTTACTATAATAATTGCCACCTAGAAGACTTTTTGAAGCCATTTTTGCCTTTTGCATATATTGACTTTGACAAATAAATGGGTAAAAATAGTAATAATGTACCGTAATTTGTTTCCACGTGCTTATGGTATAAGAAACAATAGAGCCACAGCATTTCTGTGGAATTTCATTACTTGACAGAGCTGTTTCCAATTCCCATTACAATTTTTGAAGGAAAAACAAATTATACAAAGGCAGAACTCGAAGAGGTTATTCAATATATATGCTTCTGAATGTTGAAAAAAAAAAAAGTACTAATAATAGCCATAAACTGACCTAACAACTGTACACCAGAAATGGATTCTACTCAGGGAAAAACTGAGTCCCACCAACAATTTCCCATCTATGGACAAGTCGGTGCAGCAAAATTGGTATGCTGTTAAAAGGAACATAGGACTTTAACAGTCTTTTTGGAGCAATGCAAGCAATAAGGAAAATTTTCTTATATAGTCTGAGAAAAAGCATTCAACAGACACTGCTGGCATTCACACAACGGTTTCTTCCTCTGCAACTGAAGGAAAGCCGTGATCTCATGCACTGTGTATCAGTGAAACAAACAAGTGAAATCTGTTACGCACTACAGTTGCTACAAAATATTCTTACTCTCTTTTGTTTCTTTTTAATTGATGTTCCAAAATAATCTTTGAGTTTAAAAAACAAAGTCAACCAAAAGCCAGCTGTTACACTTTCAATCTAAAAGCTACAACGTACAACTTTTCATATGTGTCGGGTGACTTTTATCTACCAATTCACTGTTATCTGCAATAAAGCAAATTATAATTGCTACAAGGAAGATCATAATAATTAAAGGAATATATATGACATTCTACATTACTGCCTGAACTGCTTTACAGCCAGATAACTACTTTAGTGAGATTGAGTAAAAAGAGACTGACATTACAGGAGAGTGTAACTGCTCCAAGGTGACCCTCTACATAGAACACTTACTATTTGTCCATTGCTATTTTTAGTGACAAATCTGGATAGATCTCATTAACAACGCCGTAGACATGGTCTAATAATCTGATGAAGCTGGGACACTGTCAAGGTTTTAGACTTTCTTTTTTTAAACCAACAAACACACCAAATTCCTATCACAAAATAATTTATTTTAAATTTGAGCAAATTACAGGCCTATGCTTGGGATTTAATGGCAGTTAATGTCAAGAAGGGAGATATCTAACTTTCTGAGGGTAAAAGCAGAGATACTATGTCCAAACTGTGCGTCGGAATCACTGTGGATTACTTTTTGTGTTCTCTCAACACTCCAGGACCTAGTGTCCTCCCAAATGCCGATGGGCCACCACATCGCATGTGGGCCTGGAAACCTATCATCCACTGTGCTCTCAGAGAAACTATGAACTCTACTCACCATCTTTCAGACAAGAGACCCAACTGCTATTGAACTGCTTGAAGTTTTACCAAATTTCTTGTCACTGTACTCTTGGAGGCAATTCTGTTGTGGAACTGACAAACTGAAGAGTCCCAAAATGCATTGCAACATCACTATTCGGGGTGTTTGGTGATTGTGTTTCAGTAACGTTGCTCCCCTTGACTTCAGATTAAACTGTTCAACTTATCTGAAAGAGTCAAGCACTCAAACCCAGAGAAATACACAATTATTGGCCATTTGCCTGCCACCTCATCTCATGTTCTCATCTCTGATAAAACCTGAGACAATGCAGCGTCCTTGGTTTTATCCCACAATATCAACTCTGCTTTTCCTGCTGCCCAGCGCTTGCTTCACTAGCTACCTCCCGACTGCTGAAACACAAAGCAGGCTGGTATCATTTCTTGATGATATAAGTGATACAAGCAGCTCCCCAGAACACCACATCTTGCCTTGATGACAGTATTATACCACATCACCTTCAGTCGTCATTTAGGAATTACCATCATCCAATTTGATTAGTCAAAATAACACTATTTCGTGATGTGGCCCAGCCCTTAAAAGTTTTATATGCTGTGCATTGGATTACATTATTAATTTCTCCGTGTTTGTTTCTCAGCATCCCTGTGGGTATCTTAGTCCAACCTGGAACACGGAAATATGAGAAGCAAACACTTGCTTTGTTGCCTCAAAGCCCAGCATGCAGGTCTCCATAGCACCTCTCCCATAGCTCCCTAGAACTTTGGAGAGTAGTAAGTCACAGTCACAGTCCTTTTAGCACTTCCACATCCTTTTCTGAATGACAAAGCCACTACGATGCCAACCCAATCATCTAGGGACCTCAGAGCATCCACTCCCCTCTGTTCCTCCCTACAGTCACTGGCCAACATTTAAAAAAAGCTCTGAAATTAGTGGCTCCACAGCCTATCAGGTCTGCTCATTTAGGTTTGGTGCATTACATTTCACACTCCGTTTGAAAAGGTAACATGACAGACAGTTAGAGAGATGTTTCATTATAAACATGAAAATCTCACTAATTTTTCTTCCTCTTCTCTCTTGTCCACATAAAAAAAACCCTGTGCAACCAACGAGAGAGGTATGCTCTGCCAATTACAAGCATGTTAGGTTTCTCACTCTTATTCAGAATTCATATCTGGAACATTTAGCTATTTCAACTACAACTACTGCTCAATAGTTGT